AATCTTGGTGTAACTTAATTATATAAACTCGAATTCAAGTCACAATGATTACCTTTCTCTCTCTTGTGTGTTCCTCCAAAACAAGACAGCTGCTGCCAAAAGGAGTAGGCAGAATGTGATGAGCCCAGCAATTTTTGACGCTGCAAGAAAAAGAGGTAACATTTTGCGACATTCACCTATTTGCCTTTGGTTTACTATTGACACAAAATTTTTTTTTCATTTTACTGACCCAAAGCATATGAATGGTCAAGTCTGCTCCAGTCATATTTAACGCTGAAATAATCCATGGTATTTCCTGAAAATAAGTATGTACGACGAATAGAAAAGCCAATGAGAGCTTCTTAGGATTAGGAAGTGTGATGCAAAACAGGTTAAGCGACGTATGCTGTACCTTTAAGATTGTTCAATTTGTAATGGAGCTCCATAATTACTACCTTGAGAAGAGTGTCATCATATTTTGTCGTAGAAAAGATAGCAATCTGAGGAAAATAGTGGTAAGCAAAAACTTCCTATCCCAAAGCTTGATACCTGGTAATGAGGCACAACGTCTTCTTCGTCAATACGATCTATAGAGTAGTTTAAGAAGCCAGCAATGTTATTTTCTTTCTCGACATCATGTATTGCTTTTTTGATGGTGTCAGTGGCAAACTTGTTCGTAGCAAAGCTCATTATCCCACCTTCAAATGACCGGTGATATGTCATAAATTCAGAAAATAAGACCCACATAATTCCTTCAAACTGACCGCAGATTTTGCAACAGTGTCCTTTGGGCTTCACTGCATTTGTGCAAGCGTCTGTCAAAGGGCACTTCACATAGTTACAGATTAATGATAATGTCTGAAAGGACTTCACGAAATTTTTGTTAAGTCATCATGCTCAATCAGAATTAAGGCAGCTTTTTATGTCCTGTTTGTGATAGGATGAGGAATTCCTGCGCGAAAAATTCGTTCATTTCGTTTTACTCATAACTTTCCAATTTCAAAAAGTCAGCAGTACATAATTAGTTCTG